GGAATTAAGTCTGTTGGCATTTATGCCTCCTTAATTGCAATGCGTTGTAACTGCAGCCATTGCCCAGCAGAGCACACTGCATATCCTTGTCGTGACCCATTTGCCACAGATGCTGCTGTAATATTTCATTAACACATGCTCTTGATCAAAATCTGCACAGCTGATTAGACAAATTTTACAAGCATCCGCATACTGTTTTTGTTCTCTAAATTATTTTTATGAATCATCTGTATTTGTATTTAGTAGTCTTTTGAAACCCTCTCCAGAGGCCGTGAATCCTCCTTCATTTAGGTCACACATGCTTCACTTGATGATATATAAGGATTGTGCTCCTGGTTTCTTTTTTTGCTTTTATTGGACTTTGAGAGTGCAGGTAATAAAGGAAAGAGGAACACAAGGAAGGAGACCGGAGATGTGAGGAATGAAGACCAAGCTGTACATGAACCTGGGCTGTCACAGAAGCACAGTATTCGCCTTGATGGTATGTGATCTGCTTTCGCTTACTAATGGCAAAATCCACCCTTGCAGATCTACTGAACAGCAAACAACATGATGACTCTTTGCAATGATTCAATCTAAGCCAAAGTTCTGATATTTGCTGGCACATCCTGTTTTCATGGGAATGGTATGAATGGATTCTCAATTAATCAAATCCGCCATAAACACATTTTCCAGCCAGACTATACAATATCATTTAATGCAACATTTTAATGCATCTGCTGTTGTTCTTTAACATCTGGTGCGGTGGTAGACCTCAGTGTACAGACTCAACTAGCCTGCCTGTTAATGCTATCATCCACCGCCATCACTAATCTTATATAATTAGGATGTGACTGTACTTAACTCTGGGAACTAAACAGAAGCTTATGCCACAGCAAAGTCTACACATATTTGGGCAACACGTGTATATGAAACACACAGTAAAATAAATTTGTTCACGCAAATCTACTTCTCTAATTGAATCTTAATGGATGAACCACTTAAATGGGTTTGTGTTTTTCCACTTCATTTCAGTTACTTTGTGACAGTTATTATCACACCATGGGGTGATGCGGGGTGATGCAGGGTGATGCAGGGTGACCGGTCACAATTAACTTCTGTTTAATCTTTTTCAACAGCAGAGGTCTTGGATTACAGGTGTGTAAATTATATAGAATCAGCACTTTACAAAGCTTGTTATATGTGACAGTGATACAGAAACTATCACAGTCCAATGGCAGCATTCATTACCTCTGGCCAAAATAGCTCCCTGTCTCCATTTACATTTGGTATTTGGGTGTTTGGCATCTTGCCAAGGTGACACACTTTTGAGGGTAGGTGACCCAAAGACACTCCACGTTCTTTCATTCTGAACAGCTAAAAGAATGAGAGGGTTTGAAAGAAAGAGAGCGTTGGTGTCATCGCTTTTCATATATTGTAATTAAATTCAACAAACACCGATTTGACTCATTTATACACCGGTTTTAGGCATTGTTAGTCAGACAGCAAGCCTGAGGTGTGGGGTTTGTAGGATGAGGACATGTATAAGGCAGTGGGGGTCTGAAATGCCATTGGTTGAAACGTGGGAAATTAAAGACTTGACATGTGTGAAGCTTCCCCCACACTAGAGGCTTTTCTTTCTTCCATCCATCCATCCATTTTCCACCGCTTATCCGGGGTCGGGTCGCGGTGGCAGCAGGTCAAGCAGGCCGACCCAGACCTCCCTCTCACCGGCAACATGTTCCAGCTCATTCTGGGGGATCCCGAGGCGTTCCCAGGCCAGCTGGGAGATGTAATCTCTCCAGCGTGTTCTGGATCTTCCCCGGGGTCTCTTCCCAGTTGGACGTGCCTGGAAAACCTCCAGTGGGAGGCGTCCAGGAGGCATCCTAATTAGATGCCCGAACCACCTCAGCTGACTCCTTTCGACGCGAAGGAGTAGCGGCTCTACTCCAAGCTCCCTCCTGATGACCGAGCTCCTTACCCCATCTCTAAGGCTGAGCCCGGCCACCCTACGGAGGAAGCTCATTTCGGCCGCTTGTAGCCGCGACCTTGTCCTTTCGGTCACGACCCAGAGTTCGTGACCATAGGTGAGGGTAGGAACGTAGACCGAGTGGTAAATTGAGAGCTTTGCCTTCCGGCTCAGCTCCCTCTTCACCAAGACGGTCCAGTGCAGCGCCTGTTTTACTGCTGCAGCTGCACCGATCCGTCTGTCGATCTCCCGCTCCATCTTACCCTCACTCGTGAACAAGACCCCGAGATACTTGAACTCCTTCGCTTGAGGTAGGCACTCCGTCCCCACCTGGAGGGAGCAATCCACCGGTTTCCGGCAGAGAACCATGGCCTCAGATTTGGAGGTGCTAACTCTCATCCCCGCCGCTTCACACTCGGCTGCAAACCGCCCCAGTGAATGCTGGAGGTCACGATCCGAGGAGGCTAACAGGACCACATCATCTGCAAATAGCAGAGAAGCGATCCCGAGACCCCCGAGACTGACGTTCTCCGCCCCCAGGCTGCGCCTAGATATCCTGTCCATGAAAATCACGAACAGGACCGGTGACAAAGGGCAGCCCTGGCGGAGGCCAACACCCACCGGGAACGTGTCTGACTTATTGCCGAGAATGCGGACACAGCTCCTACTGCAGTCGTACAGAGACCGGATCGCCCGTTGTAACGGGTCCGGCACCCCATACTCCCGCAGCACCCCCCACAAGACCCCCCGAGGGACCCGGTCGAAAGTCTTCTCCAAGTCCACAAAGCACATGTAGACTGGTTGGGCAAACTCCCAGAACCCCTCCAGTAGTCTTGCGAGGGTAAAGAGCTGGTCCACTGTTCCACGGCCGGGACGGAATCCGCACTGCTCCTCTTGAATCTGAGGTTCGACAAGCGGTCGGAGCCTCCTTTCCAGCACCCTGGCATAAGCCTTCCCCGGGAGGCTGAGTAGTGTGATACCCCGGTAATTCGAGCACATTCTCCGGTCCCCCTTTTTGAAGATGGGAACCACCACCCCGGTCTGCCATTCCATGGGCACTGATCCCGACCCCCATGCGACATTGAAGAGGCGTGTCAGCCAGGACAGCCCAACTATGTCCAGCGCCTTCAGCATCTCAGGGCGGATCTCATCCACCCCCGGCGCCTTGCCACCAAGGAGCTTTTTAACTACCTCAGCGACCTCTGCTAGGGATATGGGTGAGCCTCCCCCTAGGTCCTCAGGCGCTGCCTCCTCTGCAGAGGACATGTTGGTCGGGTTTAGGAGTTCCTCAAAGTGCTCTTTCCACCGCCCGACGATGTCCTCCGTCCGGGTTAGCAGTTCCCCCCCCTGCTGAGAACAGCCTGGGGTAAGCCCTGCTTTCCCTTCCTGAGCCGTCGGATGGTTTGCCAGAACCTCCTTGAGGCCAACCGAAAGTCCTTCTCCATGGCCTCCCCGAACTCCTCCCATGCCCGAGTTTTAGCATTCGCGACCACCGCAGCTGCAGCCCTTCTGGCCTGCCGGTACCTGTCAGCTGCTTCAGGAGACCCCTGGGCCAACCAGGCCTTGAAGGTCTCCTTCTTCAGCTTGACGGCTTCCCTCACCTCCGGTGTCCACCACCGGGTTCTCGGGTTGCCGCCACGACAGGCACCGATGACCTTCCGGCCACAGCTCCTAGCGGCCGCGTCCACAATAGAGGCTTTGAACATGGTCCACTCGGATTCCGTGTCCCCAACCTCCCTCGGGATGTGTGAGAAGTTCTTCCGGAGGTGGGAGTTAAAGACCTCCCGGACAGGGTCCTCCGCCAGACGTTCCCAGTTCACCCTCACTACACGTTTGGGTTTGCCGGGTCTTTCCAACCGGTTCCCCTGCCATCTGATCCAACTCACCACCAGGTGGTGATCAGTTGACAGTTCTGCTCCTCTCTTCACCCGAGTGTCCAAGACATACGGCCGCAAATCAAATGATACGATTACAAAGTCGATCATTGATCTCCGGCCTAAGGTGTTCTGGTACCAGGTACACTTATGAGCCACCTTATGTTCGAACATAGTGTTCGTTATGGCCAAACCGTGGCAAGCACAGAAGTCCAATAACGAAACACCATTCGGGTTCAGATCGGGCAAGCCGTTCCTCCCAATCACCCCCCGCCAGGTTTCTCCGTCATCGCCCACGTAAGCGTTGAAGTCCCCCAGGAGAACTATGGAGTCGGTAGGCGGCGCCCTTTCCAGGACCCCTCCCACCGACTCCAAGAAGGCCGGATACTCTGAACTGCTGTTTGGTGCATAAGCACAAACCACAGTCAGGGCATTGCTCCCGGCAACCCGTAGGCGACCCTCTCGCTCTCCGGGGAGAACTCCAACACAGCGGCGCTCAGCCGGGGGCTCGTGAGTATCCCCACTCCCGCCCGGCGCCTCTCACCCTGGGCAACTCCGGAAAAGGACAAAGTCCAACCCCTCTCCAGGAGCTTGGTTCCAGAGCCAACGCTGTGTGTGGAGGTGAGTCCAACTATTTCTAGCTGGTATCGCTCCACCTCCTGCACCAGCTCCGGCTCTTTCCCCGCTAGCGAGGTGACGTTCCACGTCCCTAGAGCTAGTCTATGCCGCTGGCGATCGGCATGCCCGGGCCTCCCGCCCGACCCGCCGCCCGGTCTGCATAGCACCCGACCCCGATGCTTGTCCCTGCGGGTGGTGGGTCCACAGGGTGGCTGCTCCATGGTGTTTATTCGGGCTGAGCCCGACCGGGCCCCATGGGCAAAGGCCCGGCCACCAGACGCTCGCCTACGAGCTCCCCTCCTGGGTCTGGCTCCGGGAGGGTGCCCCGGTTTCCCTGGTCCGGGCGAGGTGGCTGTAGTCCGTGGGCTAACTATCATAGGGGTTGTTTTGAACCGCTCTTAGTCTGGGCTCTCCCCTGAAACCTGTTTGCCTTGGGAGACCCTACCAGGGGCTAATGCCCCGGACAACATAGCTCCCAGGATCACTGAGCCACTCAAACTCCTCCACCACGATAAGGTGGCGATTCACGGAGGAGCTTTTCTTTCTTTTCTTTTGCAATTCTAAATAGCGCCCCTTTAACAAGCAGGTCGCCCTAAAGTAACCCTCACCTTCTGTCCATGCTCAATCTCATATATTCTTTTTTGGTGAAATGTCAGTCTCAATAGCAACATAATTTCCCCCCTAATGCCAATACACACAATACACAATACACACAACACTGGACTAGAAACATACCGTATGATCTGGTAGTGTGACATGCTGATCTGGTTGCAAAATAAAACTAGAGATAAACTGTGCTCATCATGACAAATTCTCAGATATAAAACAATAAGGCCGTAACTATGCTACTGCTCATAGATGACTGTCCTCTGGTGTTTTGTCGTTCACTGTGGTCAGGCGTGGATTTTTATGAAAGCAGCACTGCGCTGCTCTGAGAGGTGGAAAAAAACTGGGTTTAAAAAGGGGAGGAGCCACGGCATCACATCACATCACAGGCATGACTGAGAGAGGAGGAGAGGACTGAGAGTCCTTCTGTTCCGACACATTCATCCATTTAAGGGTGATTTAAAGCTGGACGGCTGTTTAAGATATTCAGTCTATCGCTTTTACTCTTCCAGTCGGAGTCGGACCGCGAGGAGGACTTGCTAGCTACCTCCTCTGGCTACATGGCCAGCTAGCACAACAGAGCTAAATATTAGCTTCTGGATTCAGCTTCACCACCCGGCGAAGTGAAGAGCCGAGGAGGGGATGGCAAGAGTTTGCTTGGATAACCCTTTCGGAAGAAACAGCGACTAACCAGACTAAACCAGCCCAGATTTATTTACTTCTTTGAATCACCGGTAAGCACCAGTTATGACGAAGTTGACAGCGATTTGAAAAACGTTAAGTTAGCGCTAGCTCGCGGGCTAGTCTCAATTAGCAAGCACTGTTATTGTTTCAGTTTACATTAACAAGTCGGCGTGTGTGTTGTTATCTATAAAGGTGGTCTATATACCAATAAGTAAGCTGTTGCTGAGTTTCAGCTTCTTTTTTTAGCCATATGGAGATTTAGCGTTAACGTTACAGACGTTTCATGTGTAGGTGTCTGACAGCGTGTCACCTGAAATCTCTTGATTAACACATGACTGTTACTGAAGTAATTGTCTTGTTTTGCCGTGTCTTCTGAAGTTGCGGACAGACCCTGAAGCATGACGGTAATTATGTACAGCAGTAGCACTCGTTAGCCATAGAGGAATACTGTGATTTGTATGCTGTTGGTCCTAACCCCGGTTATTATTAGTGTGCCTCCCCTGATCCCTCTGTACGAAGAAGTGCTTGGACTTTAGCTAACCCCTCCTACTTGTTGCCATGTTCCCATCCCTGCATCGCAGGAGTCACATTCGTGTGTCAGCATGCTGGACAAATACAGAACATGAGGTTCAAGCCACTTTGCACTTTCTTTTTAAATTGCCTGGAGTAAGCAGAAACGTTACACCACATTCTTTAGTTTGCATTAAAACTCAGTGTGTACATTTGTCTGTTAACTACTAATGTTCAATAGAAGATTATTCTCTTATCCAGATGTTTTTACTCTGTGTCATCCTGTTCTCTATCCTCTGCTCCAGCATGTGGAATGTTTACATTTTTAAAGAATGAGCACCACCTGTATATTTTTTATTATTAAGTAGAGTGTTGTTGTGTGTAGCTGTTACCCTAACTTCTGCAGAGATTGTAGATGCACTTAGCTTAGTTATAGGCCATTCCCAGTAGTTTCCAGTGAGAAGCCATTGCAGTGGTATAGTGTCTGTTTGATAGATGAGCGGGGCATGCTGCATCCATTGATCGGTGACGCCATCGGTCACGGCTCAGGAGACTTCCCTTCTGCAGCCCATAACTATACACATTTTTATTTAGTTCATAGGGCTGCTTGCCAACACACCCACACATACACACACACACACACCTGGTATCATTCAAGCAGTCGGCCACACCTTTTACTTAATTACACGCTGAGTCTCCTCTTTTAGGGCCAGATGCTGCCATAGTGCTGTGATTTTGGTACTCAGCAGCAACACAGTTATTGTGATGATGGCAAAAGTGAATGAAATGCCGCCTTACATCTCTGCTCTCTTTTTTTCACAAGTGCCTGTGAGCATAGCTTGTTATTTCTTTTCTGATTTGATTTATTCTTATTCCCGTTCAGGTTGTTGGTGTTACTGCGATCCCCACCATGGTGCAGAAGTACCAGTCACCTGTGCGGGTGTACAAGCATCGCTTTGAGCTGGTGATGGCGGTAAGTGTCTTCTACCTGTATTCACAGTCACCTCTCTGTAATATTGAGTTATGTAATGCTGGCGTGTGGGTGCTTAAGAGGTCGCCCTCAGAAGGTAGTCATTTGAGCAGAATTACACACCTTGCATGTTATTTGCTCACAGATTCAAAATGCTGTTGCTGGAAGCAAACTGCATTGAGGTTATCCTCACGTGGCACACACACGTTTTCTTATGTCTTGGGCGACTGAAATGACCGACTCCATCGGGCTTCCTGCCATCTCAATGTTTAAGATCCGTTCGTCGTTCACTAAGATGTGCAACCATTGTGCTGTACATTTGCACACTCAGCATCTGAATCTATTGTACGGCTGTGCTGTTATGTCAAACAGAGTTTCCACCTTGGTGTAAAAAAAATAAAAAATTCAGTGCCTTTCATGGCTTTTAGTGTCAGCCTTGCTGCGTGTTGTCGTTCACTTTCAAGCATGAGTTCCCTTGTTCAGTGCAGAGAGACTCATCTCCCTCTCCTCTCGCTCTTTTTTTTGAAAAATGGCTTTCTCCGCAGAATTCCTTGTGCCATCTTTGCTTTCTCTCCCTAACGTTTGGACCTTGTCTTCATTTCCCCCTTTCTGCATATAATTTGACATCCAAATCTGTTAGTCTTTACCCCTGTGCAGTCGGACAGAGGCTGTGTGGAAGGTTCACTGGCTAAAGGGCTCCAGCAGCCAGCAGATAGAAAACACTAACTGATTGAGTCCCTGCAGTGTTTCATGACAACACTGGATCATGTAAAAAACAATGAAATAATAGATTTTCAACATATTTTCACACCTTATCTCTGTAAGATAGATTTATTTTCTTTTTTAATTCAGTGGGAAAAGAATGACGAGCGATAGTGTGCTAAACCATGAACTATAATCTCACAGTGGATGGATGGTTTACTCAGCAATCTTTTGACCTCAGCTGCTGTTTGTCAGTAATGTGCTGTTAGTGCATGCCTGAAGAGTCCTGGTCTGATTATACAACTGTCAATTTCAACCAAACAGTCTAACTAGTCAAAGATGCTTTATTGCTGTGCTGATTATTTTCAGCAATGAATGGCTTAATTCATTTAAATGACCTCTGATCACCAGGAAGTTAGTTGGGAATTACGTCCTTTTAACAGCCTGTCCTGTGTCTGCTGCTGCTCTCTTTAAATGGAAATCTGCATTCTCTATCAGCCTGAACAAGGGTGCAGGAAGACAAAATCTCCTGAGCACTGGCTGGATTGAACACTGGGCGAACGGATGGCTATAAATAGAGGGCTGGTCCTTACACCTGGGTCTAAGCATGCAGCCGAGGGGGGGAATAGTAACAATAGCGAAGCAGAACTACATCATTTGTCACCAGGGCAGCAACGGATAAGGTGGATTTTAAAAGTTGAATACAGGAAAAGAAAAAAAAAACTCTGACTCTATAGTGAATTTTAGAATTAATAGGTGGCAGAAATGTTCAGTCAGTTTGCTGCATTTGGATTCTTTTCTTTTTTTTTTTTTTGCGACTTTTCTCTGCAGTGAGTATTTTTTGCAGACACTGCAGAGCTGACCTTATGGTGCGTCACAACACGTACTGGTTCTTTTTCATTTAAAACTCAGTGAAATCTGTCCCCTCTCACTTCCTCTATAGCAGGGCTGTCTCCTCTGCTTCATAGTAGTGCAACAACCTCCTGCATTTGTGGGAAACTATCACAAAGCATTGATGGAGTGTTTCTGTTTGTTGTTTTTAACAAGAACCAGCTTCTTTTTGTCAAGACTACTTTCACTTTCAATGTGTATAAGGTGTATATATTGTGCTGGCAGGCCTAGGCATTATGCAGAGTACCAAATGATCTGCACATTACTGTGTTGGGCCATAGCTTAGTTCGGCCTTGTTATTCTTCCCTCCAGTTCCTCTTTCAGAGGCTTCTGAAATATTTGCCAGTAATGGCTTTTCCGTTTTGTCTGCTGGGGGATTATATTTGACATTTAGCTCGGAGGAATTTGGAGTTGTCTCTCCATTTGACTCTGTTGTTTGGATACTGTCAGCTCCTTTTAAAATAGCCATTTACTCTTCTGAGAGTAAAAACCAAGGTTTTCCTCTGTTAAAGCCTTTTATGTGGATTCTTTTAGTTAACATCTTAGCTTAAACTCAGCCTCTCTTCACTTTAGCCTGAAGTATCCAATCGCCTCAATGACAGGTGCTATTAAAGTATGTCAACCCCTGCATAACACTGCTGTGGCTCGAGTGTACTGTTGCATAAGTCCTGCTCGTATCTCAGATGGCCTTCAGCTGTTTCTGTTCTGCAGCAGTTACTGTACCCTGCTCGAGCATATTAATCTCGGTATTCCTGGCGTTGACGGCCTTTTGGCAGATTTGACACTCTTCTCAGAACTTAGTAGTTGAAAATACACTGCAACAATCATGACGTACTTTATCTTTTACATTTTTACCGAGCCAGCATCGTCTTTAACGGCAATCAAGTCTATTGTTTAGAAAGAAGTCACCTGGGTTTACCACAATGCGGACATAATAATAAAGCAAGAAAATAAACCGTCAACTCCCTTGTATCATTGGGAGGTGTTGTTTTACTTGTTTTGATTTTGGCTTCTGCTTGAAGGCTATGAAATCAACTTGACGGGACTAGATGTGACACTTGATTAAAGATTCTTCTGTAACATTTCACTGAGTGATTTATAGCAGGAACACCTGATGCTGAGAGTTAAATAGTATCAAAGAGACCAGCTCCTGAAAGTCCTGACTAGATTAGAATGGTGCCAGAGTGAAACGCACTCCACAGCACCGTCAGTATGTATCCTCTTAGAAAACTCTAAACTTCCTTTTTGGATGAAGTAATCTCGGGCGCAGATCTAAGAAGGATGTGACTGTTGTTGACTAACAGCCGACTGGCTTTGTTTGAGCCTTCTTATTGCCACACAAAGTTGGCCTGCTCTTTTTATTGTTGAGGAGTTTGGAGAATCACTGAAGTAAGGAAGTACCTCAGCAGCCACAGCAGTCCCTTGAGTCTGCTGCTGCATCTCAATAACAGGAAATGTAGTCGATGCTTTTTGCTGCTGTTATCGCAACAGTTCCAGTTTCAGAGCCTTTAGTCTATCCTCGGGGAGGCACATAGGAATGTCAAACACAATACCACTCTCGCTGTTGTTTCACAGCTGAAGGGACAGTTGCTTCTGGAACACATCCACGAATGAAGAATGACCTCAGTAGCCACAAGAGAAATAAAAAAAGGATTAGTCTGGAATAGTACATAACTGGGAACTTGATGCTTAAAAGACAATAACTATATCTTAAGTCCCTCAACTCCCAGATAAGCGGCCATGCTGCAAAGAGGTATTAAATGAGTCAAAGTGTTCCTGCTCTAGGGAAACGTATGGGCCTGTAGCTAATCCACAGGGACAAAGTGTTTTGGTCCTTCCCCTGTCACAGTAGAGTTTCTACAGGGGAATAAAAGAACAGGATGTGCCATGCTAGTGTGGTGCCTGCTGGGACATTTCCTTCATATTGACTAAATCCTCTTTATCAGTGGCAGCACAAACAAATACATATACTTTGGAAAATTAACCGACGTATTAGGCTGAGCGCTGTCTGCTAACACAGTAGCCTCTGGGCAATACCTGTGCTGCTTCAGACTCTGAATCTCAGCATGTCCCTTTCTCTGCGGCCCGCGCACTCTGTTTATCTCAGGTAAAAGAAACAGGTGAAAGGGTGCACACTGCACACACCTCCTTCTCAGACAGACTGGAACCTGTTATTAGCTTGATAACCTGTTATTAGTGAGGCCCTCAGTGAAAATGATTGTTTCCTGCGATCCAGCTCAGGTCTCTGTCACAGTTCAGTTACATTACGTACGGGAAAGAGACGCGACCAGCAGTGAAACAGGACACCCGTGATAGTTTGGTAGGGGACCTCGTCTTTTGAAGTGTTGTGACCGTTTTTAAACTGCATCACCAGCTTTGAGTCCACTCAATAGAAAACACAATTAGCAGTTCTGCCTTTTGATTCCTGTCGCTAGTGTGTCATGAGCTGCTGCTGCGACCTGAATTTTTATTTAGGTTTTGTTCCTTTTATAACGGTGGTATTCAATTAAAGTTCAACAAGGTCCAGTTAGAGAGAATTTTCTCACGCAAAGGTCCGGAACATCACAATAATGTCTAACTGGCGTTATGATTTAGTCCCATATATATTATCATTACCTCTCTGGTAACATCATTGTTGGGGAGTGAATTCATGCGTTAGGATTCTGATCATATTCGGCTCTTAGATTTATTTTCTGTGACTTCGTTTGGGATGCGAGTGGGTACGTTTGCTCAAAAGATTTGTGCTTTGTCTCTTTAGTGTCGCTTCACATTGCTGCTTTGAATAATCGCCACAGTCTCTGAACATATGAGACACACTGGTTTTAAACTGCCCGTGGGAAGAATGAACATTTAACAGTCTGTCCATTCTTGGTTAAAGGCTCTGGTCTCTCTGGTCTCTCTGACCACTTTTCTCTTCTTGGAGAACGTCATGTGGAATAACTTCTCTGACTCACGTAATTCTCCTGCTCTTCGTTCTGTTTCCTCGTCTCTCCCCCGTGTGTCTGAGTCTCACTTGAGTCTGGAAACTTATCAGAATACACATATTTGATTGGCTGAGTAGCATCAGGTGATGTGATTTACAACGCATGTAATTGGTCGGTTTGCTACCTGGACCGCTGAATGAGTGCCGTAAAGGCTGGAAAAGCTGCGCCGGTTAAAATAGAAGCGCTTCGTCCAAATTGAATAATTCGGTTTTAGGTCTGCCCATTAGTGAAACTGGATCATGTAAGGAAACTGAGCCCCTATCATGCAAAACAGAAATAAGAACATGTTAATCAATTAAGCCCACGGGTTCAGTAGATGCTTCTGCATGTCAGTTTTGCCTGTTGGTTGGTTCGATAACGGCACCAAAGTCCAGCTGTTGTAAGACAACAGAGCTCATGTTACCAGGTTTGATTTTTTTGGGGGGT